ACGACTGAGCCTTGTAAATAAACAAACTAGTTAAAAAAATAATTATGAAGTCATATAATTATAAACCAGGGTATAATCATTTTAATAGAATTGACTACCCCCTGGATTCCCTTTCTCATTTTACAGCTGGTATAATCAAATTGACAGATTGATGTCTTTCTATACCACTTGAAATTACTGAAGTGGGGTCGATTTTCGATGATCGAGTTCCGCATATGTTATGTGCTTGGAATCAAGCCCTAATAGAAGAATCATAGAAGTGTCCAGTACGAATAGAACATTGCAATATTTAACTTAATTTGCAAACAATTTCCCATTCCTAATACATAGAAAACAAACAATTCTGCAGTTGACAATATCAAAGAAAATCAAATCTTACGCAGTAGTACAACCACGAACATTCCACTATGCAGTGATGTTCAGGGAAATTTGATTCGAAAAAAAAACATCACATCCCATCGCTAGAAAATTCCTTAAACTTTACAATAATTAGCCCGGGGGTAAAATTTTAATTAGATGCCGCTATGTGCTGAATGCGGTGAATGGTGGCAGCAGTGGAGAAGGCATCGCGCTCCGTGAATCCGACGTGACTGCCTCTGTGGAGTGAATCCGCACTTGTTTGAGTGTAGTAACGTGGAACACTTTTTTTCCCTGGATATAAAAGATGTTTCCATTGCAACGGGAAAAGTATTGTTCTCGTCTTTCATTAGTTCAGAAGTATTTTATTTTAAGTGTTCGAGCAATTCAAGCAAAGGCAAATCCTACCCGTTGAAACAATCCTACGAATGTGGCGTGAGTAGCGAGAGTATGTCACTTGCAGATAAAGATGTTCCGCGAGAAGCAGACACAGGCAAACGCGAAACGAACCCCGAGGAAATTACACAGAGCAATGAAATTTCATAGTAATTTTACAATTTTTGCTTCCCCGCGCGCAGAGTGTCTTGGCTTGGAAAGTTCTGTCATAATCTTCGTTCGGCAATAGTCACAGGATTTGTGCTGAGAAAATGCTATAATCAGTTTTCACCCGCTGCAGAAGGGTTAACGCGATTTCACGAAAGTGTCGATTGCTGATCGTAAAAGAAAAAGAATGAAATTTTGATGAAATTAGACCCATGGCAAAAATTAATCGTCAGCATTTGATGCAGTGCAGTGATAGGGCTGCGTAAGAAGGGTCATGATCTGATTCATTAAACCGAATTAAATGATTGACAGTGATGTTGGGGTGGCAACGTTTCAAAGATGCTTGGTCAGGAAAAAAAAAACAAACAGTATGTTCAGGTTAGTGACGAAGGCTGAATTTGAGATTTTTACAATTGATTTACTAGAAAACCGAGCTAAAATTTCTACGTCCTCTAATTACACCATGGTCAATGCTATCAATACAACCAGCTATCAACATCAAAATAAACAAACATCACCAAGCTGAGAGCTAGAAAGCAATACTTTGTTTTCGATGTCCTTGTAGTGCATCCATTGCTGTGGGAGGTGCCATCAAAATCAGAAAACTGTTACCAGATAAATGCTTTCATTCGCTTCTGGACCAAAAACCAAACCCAACCCCCCTCTATCTCGTAAGTTGTACGTACTGCCAAGGCTATTTTGTCGATCAAATTGTCATCCTAGATGGAACAAAAGCTCCCGTCCGCTCATCCCCATTTCCCACTGAGAGTGGACCGCACATACACACCAAAATGTGTAAACCAACAAAAGCTGCAGCAGAAGCGAAAAACATTGCAATTAGTTGACTAATTAAAAAAAAAGATAAGCAGTATCGAGAAAAATGTCATCAGCAGTCGATGATGAAAGCAATTTCTCATCTCGAAACACTCCGAGGTTGTACGTAGAGCGAGAGGGTGAGAGTAGGTCCCAATGAGGCTGCTTTGGCGAGTGTAACCTTTTCTTGCAATTTATTTCGTCTGAAAGCTCATGCTCCTGTGGAAAGCACCAGTAGCAGCAGCAACCAGGCGACTTCTATCACTGTCGATCCAATCCGGGAGTCTGGTGGACAGGCGACCCATGAAGGGATTATCTGCATCTTGGCGATCTGTGAGAAGAAACCGGCGACTGAAGTAGCAGCCTCGGTAGCAGCAGAGACAACAAACATTATAGGTGACGATGAGTTCAACTGGCTGGCGGCTGGCGGCTGGCGGTTGGCGAAGGGAAAAGCGAGATGTGATGAATGCTGTCCCTGCTGCTTTCGTGTTAGAGATTGAACCAGAGGAGGATGTAAAATATTGATTGGGTGTCATACCGGGGCGATGTCAAGGCAAGCTGGGAAAAAAAGTAAAATAAGTGATGGTGGATATTTTTTTCAAACGAGTATTTTCTCATGGTGACCTAACAAGAGTTTGAGTTAAAATGATGGGCTATGCAACAAAAATAAAAAAAAAATCTCGAAATAGTAGTAAAATAGTGTTCAATTTCAATTGTTTATGTTTCATACAATTCGTTATTCGACATTTTAAGTGATTTTGCCTGAAGGGCTTTTCATCTTTATAAATTGGGTTCGTTCAAAGTGAGTTTAAATTTACGGGAATTTGGGTTCATAAACCACTTGGACTTTCTAGGGATAGGAAAGAGGTTGCAAGAAGTCTACGCTATTCTACGAGGGGGAGGGTGGGTAATGGTCATAGTCTAAAATAATTGGCGGGCCAAGGATACGAAGCAGTTGACCACGAGGATCCGGAATTGTATCCGGAAGATGGATGTCAGTGCCGTCCAGCGCTCTTGTGAGAGCATCGCATCGCAACAACTAAGTTGCGTCGTACGGCTGACCAGGGCCCCTTCTCCAGTATTCATTGACGTTTTTTTTGAAGAATAAAAATTATGTTTTTATTAAAAAATACTGAATATGACTGAAAAAAATCTCATTTTTTTTATTGAACACCCGTTACGTAGCTTAAATTTGTTTTCCAAATCACCTGATATCTTATAATACAAATAAAAATTGCTGTGAATCCTGCGTGAAAAATATGATAATCAATTCTTTTCCAAATCAAAGGCTTGCTCACAAAGCAAATTCACAATACTTTTCACTCTACAATAAATAGACTAATTTCGGATGGCGATGAGAAAAAAAAAACTACAAAAGGTAACTCAATGGAACAAATTTTCCTTAAATCCTACGTTTCTTAAGCCGTCTACAAAAATACTCCGATGCTTTTCCGGGCGGCCTTACGGCAGTTGTCTCTTTCGTGGCCTTGGCGTCAGCTGCTCCTTCGTTTTGGCCACGTTGGAATAGATCCTCCGTTTGAGGTTCACGCAAATTTTTTCTATCGGTCGCAGCTGGGGTACGTTGGGAGGGTTGGCGGTCTTCCACAACCACTACATCGCGCTTCGCCGGAAAGATGTTTTTCACCAGCACATTCAGTCACTCCTTCTGAGTGAATAGAAATCCGGAGTGGTTATCACAATAGAAGGGACCTTTTCCTTTTTGGCATTAAACCAGGAAAGTTTATTCAAATTTTGCCTGGATGATGGATCATTCTCATCATCCGTTTACTTACTTACTTATCCTGGTCGGACATTCCTCAGGATTGCACCTGCATCACAATGGTGCACCAATTCACTCGGTCCGTGGCTGCTTGTCTCCAATTTCTTGACCGTCCCACACTTCCAAGATCCTGCTCCATTTGGTCTAACCACCTTGCTCGCTGTGATCCTCTTCGACTTGTACCGGCCGGATTCGAGGTAAACACCAGTTTTGCGGGATTTTTGTCCGGCATTTTTAAAACGTGTCCCGCCCATCGTACCCGTCCTGCTTTCGCAACTTTTTGGATACAGGGTTCGCCATAGAGTTGCGCCAACTCGTGGTTCATCCTTCGCCTCCATACACCGTTCTCACATACCCCGCCAAAGATGGTCCTAAGCACTCGTCGTTCGAAAACACCCAGTGTTTGCAGGTCCTCCTCGAGCATCGTCCACGTCTCGTACCCATAGAGAACTACCGGTCTTATCAGCGTGGTGTTATCTTACATGCTCCATTTAGTACGGAGGTGAAGTTTGCCCGACCTCAGGGTCTTGTGGAGTCCGTAGTGAGCACGACTTCCGGCAATAATTCGCTGACGAATTTCTCTGCTGCAGTTGTTATCCGACGTCACCAATGATCCGAGGTACAGAAATTCATCCACCACCTCGAACTCATCCCCGTCGATTGTCACGCTTCTGACTATGCGAGCCCTATCCCGCTCGTTTCCTCCAGCTAACAGATACTTTGTCTTCGACGTATTCACCTTAAATCCAACCTTATCTGCTTCACGTTTCAGCCACGGCCTGAAACGTTCTTCCGACAATGTCCACGTCGTCAGCGAAGCAGATGAACTGGCTGGACTTATTGAAGATCGTGCCCCGCATGTTAAAGCCCACACGTTCCGTAACACTTTCTAACGCAATGTTGAACAGGAGGCAGGAAAGACCATCGCCTTGTCGAAGTCCTTTGCGAGTTTCAAACGAGTCCGATAACGCACCCGATATCTTTACGCAGCACTGTACACCATCCATCGTAGCTCTGATCAGTCTGGTCAGCCTCCCGGGAAAACTGTTCTCGTCTATAATCTTCCATAGCTCTTCACGGTCAATAGTATTATAAGCGGCTTTGAAATCGATGAATAGGTGATGCGTAGGGACTTGATATTCACGACACTTTCTGAGGATCTACCGCAACGTAAAGATTTGGTCCGTTGTCGATCGCCCGTCCACAAAACCGGCTTGATAACTCCCACAAATCTTCTTGCTAGCGGCGATAAACGGCAAAAGATGATCTGGGAAAGCACTTAGTAGGCCGCGTTAATAATAGTGATCGCTCGACAGTTCTCACATTCTAGTTTGTCGCCTTTTTTATACACTAGGCATATTACTCCCTCTTTCCACTCCTCCGGTAGCTCTTCTGTATCCCAGATCCTGGCTATCAGTCGGTGCAGACAAATGGCCAACTTATCCGGGTTTATTTTGATAAGTTCCGCTCCGATACCATCTTTCCCAGTTGCTTTGTTGTTCTTAAGCTAACGGATAGCATCCTTAACTTCACCAATCATGGGAGCTGGCATATCCCCCACATCCACTGTACCGACGAAGCCATTTCTCCTGCCACCTTGGTCCTCCGCCTTTGTGCCGTTCAGATGTTCATCGTAGTGCTGCTTCCACCTTTCAATCACCTCACGTTCGTCCGTTAAGATACCCCCTTCCTTATCCCGACTCATTTCGGCTCGCACCACAAAGCCTTGGCGGGATGCGTTGAGTTTCTTGTAGATCTTGCGTATTTCTTGAGAACGATACAGCTGCTCCATTTCTTCGCTCTCCAGCTCTTCCAGGTGGCGCTTCTTATACCGGAAAAGATGGGTTTGCTGTCTTCGCTTCTGTTTATATCGCTCTACATTATGACGGGTTCCTTGCTGCAGCATCGCCGCCCGCGCTGTGTTCTTCTCGTCCAAAACCGTCTGACACTCTTTGTCGAACCAATCGTTTCGACGATTCCGCTCAACGAACCCAGCGGCGCCTTCAACAGCGCTGTTAATAGCTGCTTTCACGTTGCTCCAGCAGTCCTCAAGAGGGGCTTCGGTGAGCTCTCCCTCATCCGGCAACGCTGCGTCGAGGCATTACACGTACTCAGTTGCGACTTCGGGCAGCTTCAGCCGCTCCAGATTGTACCGTGGCGGGCGCGGGTACCGATTGTTGTTGGCAACGGAAAGTTTTTGGCGCACCTTGACCATTAGAAGGTAGTGGTCCGAATCGATATTTGCACCGCGATAGGTCCTGACGTCAATAATGTCCGTCGATCGAAACGTGGTCGATTTGCGATTCTGTCTGCTGCGGTGATCTCCAGGTGTACCGATATGGGAGGCTAGGCTGGAAGTAGGTACTACGTATGGCCATGTTCTTAGAGGCGGAAAAATCGATGAGTCTAAGGCCGTTGGCGTTCGTTAGCTGGTGAGCTCTGAACTTTCCTATAACCGGTCTGAATTCCTTCTCCTGGTCGACCTGAGTGTTAAGATCGCCGATGGCGATTTTGACGTCATGGCTTGGATAGCTGTCGTATTCTCGTTCCAGCTGCGCGTAAAAGCGTCTTTATCGTCATCGTCACTTGCTAAGTGACGGCTGTGCACGTTGATTATGCTGACATTGAAGAAACGGCCTTTGATCCTCAACTTGCACATTCTGCTATCGATTTGGCCACCACCCAATTACGTGCTTCTGAATTTCGCCCATCACGATGAAAGCTGTATCCAGCTCATGAATAGTACCGCAGCTCTACTTTTATTTTTTTACGGCTGGCTTGTAGGGCCTGCACCAACCCCCATTGTCTCGCCGGGGGACCATCGTGCACAGCACTGATTTGAGTCCCACGCTGGCACCAGGACGTTGATCAGCCTCTCCTAACATGGAGAACAGACGCCGTTTTGAGCCGCACCTCCATGGTGAACAGACGCTCGAAGACTGCACTCTCCGGAGAGAGAAGTCCCCCATTTCCCTGTCAGCATACGACCAAGGTCCCACCGAGTTTTGTTACCCGATCTTCCCTATGGTTACTCGTACCCCAGCTGGCACCGCGGAGAGGTAGGGATAGGTGTTACCAAACAAGAGGCTAAGGACCGCTAGTGGGGTCTATTTTATACCTGCAGATACGCGAAGTATCAATGGTACGCATTGTCCAGCCATTGGCGTCAGCTGCTCCTACGTTTTGGCCACGTTAGAATAGATCCTCCGTTTGAGGTTCACCCAAAAATCTTCTATCGGTCGCAGCTGGGGGACCTAGGAAGTGGTTATCACAATAGGGGGGACCTTTTCCTATTTGGCATTAAACCAGGAAAGTTTATTCAAATTTTGCCTGAATGATGGATCATTCTCATCATCCGTGAGCATATTAAATTGATCGCTCTAATAAATTTAATCAGAAGTGGGATCAACAGATTGCCGGTTTTATTTGCGTTTAGGTGCCATGGCGTCAGTAGAAAGTTTCTTCAAATCGAATTTCAAGCAGATTACTATAAGAATCCGAAGGATCGGAGAGGAATTGTCCAAATCGATATCCAGGATTATCTCGGTTATTTTACAAACAAGGATCTTAGAAAGAATAATACAATAGAAATTTACATACATAAATTTATATCTCCAAATCGATTTTCAAGCAGATTAAAGACTTTTTCAAAAAAACGTGAGACACAAACAAAAAGGTCATCAAAAACTAATTTCAAGTTGGACTTTCTTTGAACTTTCAGAGAATAAACTAAACCATTATGGTAAGGTTTCTACTTCTTTGCTTAATTGGATCTCTGCAACATAACCGAATGCCCACACCTTGCCCTTGATACCACTCATAAGGTTTTGGGCAATGGTGGGGCCGACTTCTTTTGATACTTTTACCCATTGTTTCTTCAAAGCCAGCTCGTTCTCCAGCACCTTGGGTTTCATGATGGCTCAAAACATCTCAATCGGTCGAAGTTCCGGTGAGTTCGGTGGGTTGTCGTCTTTTGCTACAAAAACAACATTGTTGTCTTTGTACCAGTGTAACACAGGCCGCGCGTCCAAATTCGGCCAAAACAACGTCTCGCCTCCGTGAGGACGCAGGAAGGGTAGGAGGCGCTTATGGAGGTACTCGTCCCGGTAGATTTGTCGTTGATGGTATCCATGGTGATGTCCGGCAGGCTTATCTTGCCGCACCCACAGGTGGCCTGCCAAACAAAGAACTTTCTGGAGAATTTGGCCACCTTCTTCTTCCTTACCTCCTCAGGAACGGCCAACCGTGATGTGGCAACGTAAGACTCCTGCCCCAACAACTGCTTTGTGTCCGCCTTGATGTAAGTCTCGTCGTCAATCACGACGTACCTCCGTTTCGTCAGCCATACCCGATACAGCTTCCAGGCGCAGGTTTTGGCCACCGTGTTTTGTATGTCGTTCCGGTTCGGTGCCTTCCAGACCTTGTAGATGTGAATGCGGGCACGTTTCATCATTTTTTGGACAAACCAGATGGAAACATCCGCCTTCTTCACCACACCGAGAATCGAAAGATTCGGCTGACGCTTGAACAGACTCAACACGTTCCTGTATTTCACCGGGACAGCTGTCTTCGGTTTTCTGCGGCAGCCTGTCCACCGCTAGTTCGGCTGGGTCTCCTTGAATGACTTCTCCACCCGGAAAATCATCGTATGATGAATGAAAAAGTTGAAGAGGATGGGCCCAAGGATATTTTCTTGCGGAACGATTGCGCCAATGTTGAAGGCATCAGAAGTGACGCCATCGAGAGAGACTTGGAATGTCGTGTCTGAGAGATAGTTTTGGATGATCTTCACGAGGAAGATTGGAAGACCGCATCGTTGTAATTTGTACACGATGCCATAATGTTGTAACGGGTCAGCCATCCAGAGTGTTCATTTTTTCTTTATACTCGTCTCCTATCTACTCTCATTTTACCTTTCCATAGATCCCTATTCCTATCGTGTGTGTGTGTGCTTAGCTTTGGGTGCTTTTCAATGAATCTAATTCACGTGCATTTATTCGTTGCTTTGCGCCGGAACAAATTTGGCGCAAAATAGAATTAGGTCAAGTACGGTTTACGCTCGTACGCCTCGTAGCCTCACGACCTTTCCATGATGCTGGTGATGGACGCCGTGCGTTCGACGAATGAACGGACGTGCTGGCGGTGAACTCTGCTACTTCTGCGTTGTTCGACGGTGGAGACCGCCGGAAGTCTAGATGTGGGCTACGTGCATCGGATGAACCGGTGCGTCTTATTCACTGACTCGTGGTCTTGCACGACGCGGTACGAGCGTCGGTATCCCTTTGGTCGTCACCAACGGGAGTAAAAACGTGTTGCTACCTGCTGACATGTTGAATGGCCGATTGCCTTGCCTAGGGTGCGTCGTTGATGTTCGCGTCCCTCTTCCAGCATACTCCGGGAATCTACATTCGGAAAATAACCATTGCACCACGCATGTGTAAGTACGGAATTACACCAAGCAAATTTCATATTCAATTTTACCTGTTTATTCACTTAAGCACAACACGACCTAAGAGAATAGCACACACTTGTCACTTCTACTCTACGAAAAACTTATGGAAAAGATTTTGGTTAAGACAAGCTACACTAATCTAAACAGGTATCATGTCACCTTTTGGACAACACCACGGCGTGAGAACTACTTTGGGCCACTCCTGCCTCTTCCACGGATCAGTTCAAAGTGAACGAGACTAAGTTTGAAGATCCTCAGATTAACCGCGATATTGAAATCTGACGAAGAATATTCAAATTCGTGATACCGAAAATTGCACTCACGCTCCCATTAGTTTCATTGCGCGTAATTTTTGCATCTCTTTGCAAAGAACGATTTCTATCCCCCAACCAACTTCGGCCCAAAACAGGATAGGAGAGAAAAAATTGGGGAAAGGTCAACACATCGTGAAAGGATTTCCAACGGGTGGACGTTCGCGGTAGCTACGCGACGATCGAGCAACCCAGCGCCTGTAAGCTGATAAGAGATGATCAAAGCAATCGCACATGTGTGGGGAACTCATTTTATTTTACTTTGAACAAAATGAATATAATGAACTTTAATCGGGTGAATATACATAAGGCAAGATCATAAATGATTCTCTAGCGGCAATTAATTATTTAAGTAGTTAACATATATTATTTGATATTGGTACATTAATACGACAAAATAGATAACGACGTATATGCTCGTTGCAATGTCAGACTCTGCCGAACACTTTTTCAACACCTAACAATGGCATGGCAGATGTCTTAGATACACAATTGTTCACTTTGAGAATATTACTTACTCGAGTCAGTTGGGGAGCTTGTTGAAAACAAAACTGGTCTTCGAGTAAGATGTTATTTTTAATCGGCAGATGTTAGAAGATGCCGAAAAATCGCTTTTTCAAGGAGCTTTGATAACCCTGAGAGAAGGCAGGAACGTATGTTGCTGGAAGGAGCGGAAGAATCCTTGACGGGTTGCCGGATGGGTATGACTTTAGCTTACTTCCAGCACGAGGGGAAGTATCCAAGCCTAAGCCACTGATTGAAAATCTGACAGAATCTAGAACTCATATGTTTGAGCTCTATTTTCAAGATGTTATCGAAACCTGGGGCATTCGTGTTTTTGAAAGATTTGATATAGGCCAACTGAAATATCTGAAACTTCGGGAAAGTTGTTGGGAATCAAATGGAGGTTGGCTGCATTTTGCGCAACAGCAGCCTCATGTGGGCTTATCAAGTTTTGACCGAAATTATGGGAGCTGACGTGTTGGCCAATCACAGCAACCTTCTCAACAGCAGTTATCAGATGAACCACTGAATCATCGGGAAGATTCAGTGGAACCAGTGGTGGAATTGGTCTGAGTTTATTTTTTAAGATTCTGGTTAAAACTATGTCCATTTAGAATCCGGAATATTAAAATCACATATATCTCGGTAACGGATTGACGTACAAATAAGGTTAATACATCAAAACAAAGGTAATTCACTGTACTTTTAGGAAAAAAATATCAATACAAATCATTTCTCTTCGTTTCTAATGAAAATTCCTCCTATCAAACGCTGCACACCTCCGAAGTCAACTTCCTTGGCACATTTGTTCCACATTTTGGTCATCTTAATCGCGTCCCGAGCCGTTTTTCCACTTTTCTTAAGCTTCCGCTTCATTATTGCCCAAAATCTCTCGATGGGCCGGAACTGCGGGCAGTTGGGTGGATTTGGGTTTTTATCGATGAAATCTACGTTATTATCGCGGTACCACTGGATGACTTCCCGGCTGTAGTGGCAACTCGCCAAATCTGGCCAAAACTTCACGGGACCTTTTTGGGCTTTAATAAAAGGTAGTACGCGGTTTTGATGCATTCTTCCTTATACAGCTTCGAGTTCATCGTCTTATTCGTCACGAACACTTTGGTCTTTGCTCCGCAGCTGCATATCCCTTGCCAAATCATCAGTTTTTGGCAAATTTGTCTTTAAAAGCAAACTTAAACTTCGCAGGAACATCTCCTCGTGCTGTCGCCATGTAGAATTTTTGGCCAGGAAGCTGTCCGAAATCCATTTTCACATAGGTTTCATCATCGATGAGCAGGCATCCTTGGTACTTCGTCAAAACCTGCTGGTAAAATTTCCGAGCTCGAGTTTTGGTGACGAAACTTTGCTTCAACGTTCTGTTTGGTTGCTTGCTGGCTCGATAAGAACGATATCCTGCTCGCAAACGAATTCTTCGAACGGTACTGCGAGCAGCAGCGTATTTTTGTGCGATTTCATTATCTGATAGTCCAGGGTTTGCTCTGACGGTTCTCAACACCTTCTGGTTCAGCTTGCCGTCATATGTTCCACTACGACGCTTACCTTGAGGCACTCGATCCACGCTCTTTCGCTTACTGAAACGTTTGAGCACATCATACACGGTTGATTTGGCGATTTTCAACGTTTTTGCGATTTTTATTGCAGACCACGTTGTATTATCAACGTGGTCTTCCGAATTTTCTCTCTCCTCTCGGCTTCCATCTGGAATAATTTTTGAATCACTGCACGAAACACCGTGAAATTTATACCACAGAAAGTGGGCGCCTAGGTAAACAAACCGCTGTAAAATAATTCTTGCAGCGGTCACTTTCTGTACCGCTGCAACACAATAAGTGATTCCGGATTCTAACTGGACAGAACTTTAGCTTCCAGAAAGGCTGGAAAGGCATTGCTCAATCTAGTAGAGAACGGATCTTATTGGAATAATCGTTATTTCTGAGATCCACCATCCTGTCCTGAATGATCTTTGTTAATTGATTACAATTAATCATATCGTCTGGCCATTTTCCAAAGAGATGGCGCTGTTCCGCTGGTTGGAAGTGATAAAAATCTCCATATAGAAATTGAGAGAAGTGGGAATAATTCGCTTTAGGTGCATATTCAGGTCAAAAAAAGTGAACGGCAACCTAAATAAATCAGTCAAAATTTGCTCTCACGACCTCAATCTTTCAACATGCCATGTATTTGCCATGTAACACTCGATTTGTGATTTCCCTTTCACAGATTACATAAAAGAGTACCTAACACTACAAAACATATCTGGTACCTCTATATATGCATTTAGATTAACATTCGAAGTCCCTCCTATTTTACGTATTCTGCAAAAAGGATACTTTCTGCTCTGCCCCATACATAAAATTCAGTGGGATGAGCTATTTTGTGTGCAGAATGTGTAAAAAGGGAGGAACTTCGAATATTAATCTAAATGCATGTATAGAGATACCAGACATGTTTTGCACTTAACTGTCCCTTGTGAACAATTAACGTAAAACAGATTATGAGTAGTTTTCGATAGATGTCACCGCAAACAACATGAATGCAGAAGCTTGACAAAATAATTAATTGGGTTTGAAGATAGCCAGATCAGTACACTGGTACTGCCTGCAAATGGTGTTACGGAGTCTAATGAGGACTTTAGTGACTGTCAAGGTCCAGAGTGTTACTCACCTGTCTGCATACTGGCACTTGTTGCTCCCTGGCCCGAGGGATTATCTCCTCCACGGATTGCAGACACCAGTCCTCTGGTTGGACATCGTAGTCGATGGTTGTGTCGACGCAGTGTTGATATTAATCCCAGTTGACACGATGGCAGTTGCACCGGGAATCTTTAAATCGGTTCAGCAAGGAACCAATTTCGGCCACCACCGTATAGTGATCCGAGCTTAGGTATTAGTAGACAACCGGTTGCGAGATGTGGGCCATGTTGCTGATGTAGGTCGATGGTGGCGTGAGCACCGGACCGATTCAATCGGGTGGGAGTATCTGGACTCAAGATGTTGTACTGGGATTCCTACAGGTCATTGTACAGGATGGTGCCATTTTGATGCGCTGACTGTTACCCTTGATGTAAGCTTGATGTTTAGCGTTCAGGTCGCTAGCAATTATGAAGTTTTTCCGCCGTCGTGTTAGCTTGATAATATCTCGTCGCAGGTCAGCTGACGACCCGTC